TTCAGCACAATAACTAGAGATGATGGGCGGGGCGGGGGGGGGATGAACATAGTTTAAAAGCTAAAAACAATGGATAAGATTGCATGTGGCTTTTAATTTCTGGATTTTTTCTAACCTTGTACTTTCCAGATATCCAGGCTATAACTCCCAGTTAGCAGGCAATACCCATGCAACTCTGGGAATTGCAGTCCCACAACACCTGAAATTGCTTACGAAAATAGAAAATACCATTTAAAGCAAGGATCAAGGCAGCTAGTAATATGCCAGTCTCAGGAATGGCAGATTCAGATTCCTGCTTTGTTATGATTGGGCAATCTAGTCTCTTGATCTTCTTAATGCACTCAATTCAAACTCTTTGGAGGTGGAGTGCAGCCTCCAAAATTAATGAATATGAATGAGCATTCCTGCTGCCATGCCATCTCCTCCCTCCTCATCACCTCCCCTCCACCCTCATCACCTCCAGCCAAATGATTTTAATACCACCTAAAAGCCATACATACGTCAAAAGGGCACTGCAGCCTTCAGAGGAGTCACTGCCACAGTTGCTGTGGGCAGGATCCACTCCCAAACATTTATGGGTAGTCAGTGGCAGCCAACTGGTTCCGACAGGCACCTTCCACCTCCTGGCAGCCCTTTGCAACCTGCATGGCTGAAGCAAAGCACTTGGCTTGGGAGTTTCACCTGAGTACCGCCGCTGGTTGAAGTATCTATAGCGGCCTTGAAGCCCGTAGGCTGCTTTGCTGTGCACAAATTCTGCAGGAAGGAGGTGGGAGGATCTGCGGCGCAGGTAATAAGGGTCTCGTAGGAGAGGTCTTAAATAAGGAGGGTGTTGGATTGGGGGAATAGTATACAGTGAGCACTCAGTTTGCAGTTCCTTCTTTTCACACTCTGCTCCTTCAGATCCTGAGGAGAGTGCTTCCTCACTCCAGTCACTGTCCACTACCCCATCTTTAGGGGACCCTGAGCTGGAGCTTTCATTACAATGTGACTGTCTCCTTTCTTCTTCCTTGTACACTTGGATGAGACTGGCTAGCAGCAAGGAAGGCCCTATGAGATGAGTATCTATGGTGTGCACCTGGCCCCCGCGCTTCTTCTGGACTGAAAATCTAGGGCTCAGGTAAGGGGTGGTGGTACTAGATCGCCTCCGGGAACACAACCCACGCTTGCGTGGGTAGCCCAAGCAAGACACCTCTTGCAGCTGGGCACTGGATCTGCGTCGGCGTTCCATAAGTACAGTAGAGGGCTGGCCTACCACAGAACGCCGCCTTGCTCTGCTTGCAGGCAAGGCCACCATGCTGGTGCGTTGGGGCCCTGATGATGCAATCTTCCTCCTGAAGTGCTTTTTGAAAAAGGATTCCATGGAGATTAGGGGCTGTTAACAAAAAAAGTATATGTTTTAAATGAAAGGTTCACCCTTCCCATCTAACTACCTAAAGTACTCCCGAATGTCTAAGTGCACAAATCATGGACACTTCCAGGCCTTGAACATTATTTCAGCTCCAGCTCCTTCACTTTGTTACAAGCATTAATCAACTTTTTAAGGCCACAAACAGCTCTGTGTCAAAGAGCCAGCCACCTGGAGCTCTAAAACTCTCTTAATTAGGTAACACCAAGACACTCAGGCAGCTAAACCATCCAGTTCACCCCAAGCACTAAGGACAAAAGAAGCTGATTACCAGAGGAGCTCTGAGAAAGGAAGCTTACTGGATATGGAAAATGTGAGAACTGTTGCATATACGCTAATAACATTCAGATCATCTATACACAGTTTTTAGAATTTACTGAGCAGATAAGCAGAGATGTCAGTAATACTAAACAGATATGCTCACGTACCACAAATTTGCTCATCCACTTTACACATAACAAGTAAAACAGATACACATAAAATACAGTCCTGCATATAAACATACAATGGAAAGAGGCAGAGTTAACCTTAAAGTGGTGTCAAGAGGAAAAGTGCTTGGATTACATTTCTAACCCTAAACTATTCTCTTCTCTTTTTTAATTTTTTAATTGCTTGGGTGAAAATGAGAGAAATATATCAGTTCAATCAATTTTCTACCTTTCAACTATACATGGAAAACCCAAATGTTTCTTGTTTAATGAAATTTAAAGTTTTTTTTACAAAAAAATATATATTTTACAATGTTGGTATAACTAAAGTAGCCTGAGACAAACTAGAAATGAGTTGGCAAGGCTATAGTATGGTAAATCCGAGAAGCAACAGCCATGTTCCCTTGATATTAAGGAAAGGAATAACAAGAATTCCAAACATTCAGAAATATTTAATGTTATAAATAGCAACTGCACAATGTATTAGAGCAACACATTGTGGCCAAAATGAATGAGTACATCAAAGGTTCCTTCAGATTTCATGCATTTCTGAATTTTGAGAAATAGTACAAGTAGCAATTGGAGAATCCTCCATGTGTATGAGTTTTTATTTTCAGAGGAATGCTAATATGGAGAAGGCAATTACTTTGTATATAAAAAGTAGTTATCCCCCTTTTATGTGCATTATAACTGTTAGTTACACAGACTGAACTGAAAATATGGAGTACTTTCTAATAGCTGCAGCTGACATCTCCCATAAAATTTTGGGGAAAAGCAGTAGAAAGATCTTATCTGTCCATTCACTCATAAAAAAAGAACGATCATTTGTTATCCTTTGTTATTTGTACAATAATTACAGCATATAGAAAGTGCTCTTCCACCCGCAGCTATTTTAGCTGGCAGCACAATTCCTATTTCTACTGTTCTTTGGTGCAAATCTAACTGAGTATGTTTACAAGTAGTCCTTGTTTAGTGACTGCCTCATTTAGCAACCATTTGCAGTTACAACAGTGAGGAAAAAGTAACTTTGTGACCAGCCCTCTCATTTATGACCTTCATAGGTCTGTAATGCAAAAGAAAGTTGAAGTAAGATCATAAGCACAGTTGTGGTTTCACTTAGCGACTGCTTCACTTAATGACTGAGTTGCCAGTCCCAACTGTGGTCACTAAATGAGGACTGCCTGGTGTTTGGAAATTTAGAACCACTGAATTTGGGAGGACTTACCTCTATCTAAGTTCTAACTGATAACTGTTTTCAAAAGCAGACTCTTAATATGTATAAAAGGTCCCCTATATTCCCCTATGCTTGCAATTTCTTAATAACTAGTACATGTATTATGGAATAATGTGCTAGAATACAATTTATCCTGCTTGAAAATAGACCATAATCCACAAAAGTTGAAGCCATAATAAACATTCAGTCTTTAAGAAAGTACAAGATTATTAACTGGTTTTATGGCAACACAGCTGCTTTTCTTGTTGTCAAAACTAGGTGATTAAAACTAGCATAAAAAAAATTTAAACTTGGTGGTAGAAATTACCTTGTTGATTTTGTGCAACTGACCAACACAGCTGATGTTTTTGAAACTGTAAAAAACTGATGATCAAAACTCAGTTTAAAAACAAACAATTTTAATGGGCAAAATTCTATCTATTTTCCTTAAACAAAGTTGATACCTGGAACACACAAAAATAAATAAATAAGTAGGCTTCTGAGTATGCATAAAGCATGAGTTGGGGTTGGGCACTATAAAAATAAAAATAGGTTTAAAATGTCCAAAAATGATTTCAGCAATCTCACTCTTGAGAACTGACAAGATTTTGGCATTCTTGTGGAAGATACCAGGTATCTTACTGAAATTTTATAAAACATTGTGTGGTTTCATGGAAATATCTGGGGGTACTGTGGTCAACTTAGTACCTTAGATACCACATTGCCCACTCATGGTCTGGATTGTTTGGTATATATTTTAAAAATCATCAGTAAACTTAAGAACTGGTAAAACTATGAGGTTTAACCACCAAATTTCACATCTTGATTCATATCAATACAGAAAATGAAATCCATGCCACCATAGAGAATGAAGCCTCCTTCCATCCTTCTCTCTCTCTCACACAATATTCTGCAGAAGAAAACAAATAGGATGCTACACCAGAGAAAAATCAGCCATTTTTGTCTACAGTTCTAAAGAGCAAATCAGCATAACACAGGACTATGAAATACTTTGTTGGGCAGCTATCAGAATTAAAGGGCACAAGACCAAAACAACACACATAAAAACAGCTGAACCATTCTTGCCATTAGTACACCCAGGGATGCTGCCATAATGCACACCTATGCACTACTACACATGACACTCGTGGATACACTTGATCCTGAGGTTTGCATGTTGAGAATGTAAATATCTGCACGCAATACTGATATTTGAAGTTCTAACCTTTAAGAAGCAGAAGTTTGGCATCATTTTATTTCAGCTTATTATATGCTTATACTGAACTCCCACACATACTAAGCTATGGTTTGTCTTAACAGTTTTTAAATAAACCAGTATAGCTGGTTCATACATTATGGTAATTCATAAACAATTATTTTAAACTGAAAGAACTAGGTGTGTACATTGTTTTAATCCAAAACTAAATAAACCATATTAAGGTTTAGCACAAAGAGGGAACTCAGCTTCCGGCACTATACTAAAACACAACATAGTTTGTTTGGCTTTGGCTTGTGTTGTATTATCCCAACTACTGCAGTCTAACGACATACATTTTTTGGATTAACATGTTGTGTGAACCCAATTAGTTGTGCTTTATTCAATAAACCATGGCTGAACAAAGCAAAGCATGGTTTAGCACAAGATACGAAACCAGACAAGATATTTTTTTTAAAAAGGGGGGGGGAGAATCATCTTATTCCTAATTTTATAGCATTTTAATTTTTTAATTTTCTTTTATTTTATAATAGTAACAACAAAAAAAGAAAAAAACACAAAGAATAAAACACAAAGATATATACATTATTAAAAAAACAATTACATAACAAGTGCTTAAAAATAAGTGGAAAAAATGCAACAGAAAAAATAATTAAAAATATGTCATTACAACAGTAAACAGTTACAATTCTATATATATTTATCGAATGCAAATATTATGTGAGTATACTCATATATATGCGTGTGTGTGTGTGTGTGTGTATCTATCTATCTATCTATCTATCTATCTATCTATCTATCTATCTATCTAATACAATTATGTAATTAATGTGCTTTTTCTGAACCTACTGTATTTTGCATAAAAGAATCCCATATTTCATTATACTTCTCCATACAAAGTCTACATCTATAGGCAATCTACTCATAGGTGGCAAGTGTAATCAGGTCTTCAATCCATTGAGTAAATGGGGCCGTACACTTATCTTTCCAGTGTTGCAATATCAGTCTTTTAGCCAAAGCAAGGGCACAGAGAATCCATTTACATTGCCCAATTGTCAAATTCCATGTGCTAGGTATGTAATTCAAGAGAATACTATCCTCTGAAAATTTTAGCTTTTGTCACACATTTTTACATAATCCACTACTTTCTCCCAAAACTTAGTAAGTATAGGTCATTGTAAAAACATATGTTTTAAAGAAGCACTGTCCTCGTTACATCTCCAACAAAAACACAGTCCTTCTCTTTACAACCATAATGGAGTCCAATATATTCTAAACATTATTTTCTGTTGTATAAGTCATAGTTTAAGGTCCACTGACACTCTTGCTATAGAAGTTAAGACACTCACCTACTGTCTAGGCAATATAGAAACCTCTAATTCTTTATTCCTCTCATCTAACATCTGCATGTCAAATTGATTTATTGATAACAAATATCTATAAAACCTAATAGGAGGTTTTTTGTTTTTTGTTTAGTTTTAAAGGATTTAACAAATTGTTCTAGTATCTCAAGTGTCTCAGAACCTGAAAATGCTGCCAGTCCAAATAATGCTATTAACAAATGTTGTTGCTTAAATATTGCAATTGGATTACATCCGGTAGATGATATTTATCTTTAGATATTTATTTATTTAGATATTTAAAGATATTTATCTTTATGATATTTACACAGCATAAGTGAAAAATTCATCTTCATCATCTATCAATTGGTCCAAAGTCAATATCCCCGCTTCCATCCAATTTTTCCATATCACCATCTTTTTCCCAATTTTTAATGTTGGGCTTCCCTACAAAGTCAATTTAGCATGGGAAAAAGGATCAAATCTTTTTTTATTAGACATTCCGTTCCATAGATTTCTAAGTGACATAATTGTTCCCAGAGAGACAAAAGTTCTATTGCATTTAGATCCTGTCTATCCAACCAAAGGTGCTATATATGTATATTCCAACATTGCCCAAATTGGAAAATTAACACCAATTGTTGGCTTCCAGTATTTAGTACTTGACAATAGGGAAGTGTGATGATATAGCTCCAGATTTGGAAAACTGAATCCTCCCTCATTGACTGGTAATTGCATTTTCTGTAAAGATATTCTTGGAATCAAAGAACCCCATAAAATTTTTCTAAACAAAGAGTTTATTTTCTGAAAATATTTTCCAGTTATTTGAACAGGAACTCCTCAGAATATAAATTAATCTGGGAATAATATTCATTTTCAGAGCATTTACCATTTCCCAAAGGTTAAGGTTTAATGACTCCCACCTATCCATTTCTAAAGAAACATCTTTATACATTTTATTTATATTACATGTTACTGAGTTATATCTTTTGGTATACACATACCTAAATATTTAACGAATTCGGTACAAATACAGAATTAATATTCCTTAAACAGACGGGTAACCAAATTTATACTTACTGGCATCAATTCCAATTTGGACCAATTAATAAAATATCCTGCTATTTTACTAAAAGCATCTATCATTTGCATCAAATATCCTAATTTTATGGCATAAACAAAAGTCTCCAAAAAGCAGTGTCTTATAGAAGATATATGCCTTGCTCGCTGCTCAGTCTTTTCTTCCCAAACGCTGACCAGGAAAAGCATGCGAGGGTTGAGCGGTGGAGTCTGGGAAAGGAAGGCAAGCCAAGTGACGGAGGGGAGGGCTCAGCCAACTGGAAAAAGACCTTAAGATACTTAAGACACTTAAGATTTTTAAAACATTAAAAGTTTAATGGCTGAGTCTTCCCCTTCGTCATGCTGTTCGCCTTCCCAGTGGTCAGGGTGGTTGTGGAGTGGGTAGCCTCGTAAAAACAAAGGAACACCCTGGTGTGCGCAGCACAGGCTGAGCTAGTAGCCGCAGAGGGTGGGGCGTAGGCATAGGGTTTTAAGCCTTGACTGAGGCGGGGGCTTGGCTGGCCATGCTTGTGGGTCATGGATCCACCTGCCGCCACCAGGGTCCTGAAGGGCTGTTGGTCTTGGACGTTCAAGCAGAAAACAATACTCTAATCAAGGAACTACCAAGAAGACAATCAATCAAGCAGACAAGCAATCAAGGAGAAAACAATACCCTAATCAAGGAACTACCAAGGAGAAAACCACACCCCCACCAACACTGGCAGGGCAAGCTAGTGGATATAAACAGGGAGCACACCCCACACTCACTCACACTGATGTTAGCTAGTCAGGTAATGAAACATCTGCAATCAAACAACCAGGCTCAGAGAGCACCAAGGATTCCACAGTTCATATCTGAGCTACATATATTCTCTTCTATTGTAGTAGTATCTTTGATTCGCCTTCCAGCTTTTATTCAGGCTAACTGGCAAACAATATTCCAATTTGGAAAATCACATCTATTTCATGGATTCTACCTTTTATTCATTTTTGTTAATGGCACAAAATTTCTATAACTTTCATCTCTGTAACTTATATATTATTCTTTTCACTATCACACTCATGTGTTCCAAGCCTGAAGTGCTGCCCCAGAAAGGAGTAATAGGGCCAGTTCCTTGGTGCACACTTTTTTGAGAATTTCACTTCTGGTATTTCTTGGTGGAGAAGAGGGATGAAAATATGAGACTTATTTTGGAATTCCAAGATCTGAACTTACTGATCTGTACCAGAAAGTTTTCCATGATTTCTTTGGAAAACATCCTCCCTTTCCTTCATTCAGGGAATTGTTTTTTCTGTAAACTTTCAGCATGTGTACTTCCATATGTCCACTAGACTATAGCATAGGAAATAATTTTGCTCTATATTTTACAAGTTGTACTCCAGTTTAGAACACATCCCTTTGGTTTTCCACTGTCAGAGTTCACTTGGCTGATACTGGGACTGGAAGTAATGCATGTAGTAGTTGAAAAACACAGATTTCTGGTAAGTAAGTTTACTGCAAGAACTTAAGAAAGCTGTTAATAAAAAGACTTCCAGTGACTACTAAATATCAAATGTAAGTCATATTTCTAGTGAAATCAAGGTTCAATTCCTGTACCATTTTCTTCTGCCTGAACAGTGCAACATGCTGGAGGTATCCTGCTTTTGGGTGGGAAGAACTGTAACTGTCTATCCCTTGTTATGAATTAGCATGATTTCATGCTGTGTGCTTCTGACCTTCCAAGAATTAGCACACATCCACTATGCTGAGAGTTTTTATGAAGTACATGAGATTGTACATGGGGACCATTGTTGCCCACCTTTGCCTTCAGGTTTAGGGTTAAGTTATCACTGTCTTATCAGAGACAGTTGTCTGTTGGTATTCATTCTCATTTCATGCTCCAGGATCACATCCATGGTTTACTTAAATTGAGTTCATGCAACGGGTGTTAGGATTTATGATAGTCACTAATTCTATGATTCTGATTGCATGTGAATTTTCCAGGACCTTTCTGATATACAGCCTCAAAACTTACATTCACATATTCTCTTCTGAATTACCAGAGAGGCTGGTAAATCTAAGAAAATGTTTCTCTTTCTTACGAACCTACCTTTGGTATTGATTACTGCCAGTGCTTCTAATATGGGATAAGATGCATTCTTCAGCTCCCTAATCAGTGGACTCTTCCCAAACATCAGTCAATTATTTGGAACTCATAGACTCATTCAAGGCATTAGAAGTCTTCAATTTCAGCCTTTGGAACTAGATTACATAGGTTGCCTCAGAAAGTGTTACAATTATCTTTTACATCAGCAAGCAATGGAATATTCAGACCCAGAGCTTCATGCTCCTTACCATTTGAGTTTGGGAGCACTGCATTCTTCAGTAATTATCATGGAGATTCACCTGGCAGGGGCAGGTAACAATGTCACTAACTACTTCAACAGAGCTTTGGTAACTTACTAATGGAGACTATACCATATAATAGTGAGCTCAGTTCTGCCAAGGGAAATTACCATCAGTTGATTAGTTTACATGGGTAGTAAACATGCAGTGCAGATATAACTACATCAGAGGAGGTTGAATCCAAGGCACATAACTCATCCTTCAATATTCTTAATAGTTATCTGGCTTCCGGTAGCCTGGTTCTCCCCCCACCCCCTGGGCTGCTGCCTTGGGAAACTTAGAGAATAGGTGGGAACAATTCGCAGGAGTATGTGTGCTATGGAGCATGCTTCTCATCAAAAAGTTCTCCATGCCTCTAAAAAATTCCAACATTGAATAGCTTGTCACAAGTGCATCATCCATATATATATATATATATATAAATGCACATATGATCACTTGAAGAACCCCATTTACAGGTAATCTATATTGTTGCTCTTTTTTGTGGGCTTATCACCAAACAAAGCAATTGAGAGCAGCTGGTAATTCTTTTTATTTTCTAAGAAAGTTTATGGAGCCCATAAACTTAGGTTGCAGGAACATTGCTGGAAATAAAGATTATGCTGAAGCCAGTGCTTTGTTTGGTAAAATGCCAGCTTCTCATCTTTTTAAATTAATTATTTTTTTAATATAAAAAGT